ACACACACACACACACACACACACACACACACACACGCACGCTTAGCTCCAGCGAGATGCCACACATCTTAATTACGGATCGTGGGTGCCCCGGGGAAGCTGCAAAAGGGCCCTTTTGGCGACGCAAGCGCCCGCATGCAGGGCCGGGCTCCCGGCATGCGGGCTGTTTGAAGTCTGGTGTCTGTCTCTGGTCTCTCCCCTTCTGATCCAGCTCTGGCAGGCCGCGCTAAGCACGCTCAACCCCAACCCCACGGACAGCTGTCCCCTCTACCTGAACTATGCCACCGTGGCCGCCCTGCCCTCCAGGGTGAGCCGGCACAACAGCCCTTCCGCTGCCCACTTCGTCACCCGACTTGTGCGGACCTGCCTGCCGCCCGGGACCCATCGGTGCATCCTGGTGAGTGCCGAAGGCCATCTGCCTACCATCGGGGAGCGTGTGTCATGCCTGCTGGGCACCCAGGCTCGCGGTACCTCCCAGGTGGACATGGGGCCACAACCCAGGACACTGTAACCCCTGCTCACAGAAGGGAAGCTGAGGTCAGAGAGACTAGGCCATTTACCCTAGATCATTTTCGGTGGCAAATCTCAGACTCCTGAACCCATTGCCCTCGGCGTCCTCCTCTCCTGTCTCGGAGACGGTCCACATCCGGTGGCCGACGTGTCCCTTTCTCACGCAGTGAGGAAGTGGCTCTGGGCAGGCCCCTGCGCGGTGGCTGTGTTGGGGCCCCTCTGTCCAGATTGTACCCACAGTGGCCTCTGGCCCAGCTTCGAGGCCCCAGCACTGCCTGAGTGCAGTCCCCGTGGGTTTGCCCCTCCTCACGGCTCTGCCTCTCTGTGCCGCAGATGGTGTGTGAGCGGTCGGACGCCTTTGCCTCCGCGTGCGCCCTGGCCCGGGCCTTCCCCCTCTTCACCCACCGCTCGGGGGCCTCGAGACGCACGGAGAAGAAGACAGTCACGGTGGAGTTTTTCCTGGTGGGACAAGACAACGGGCCAGTGGAGGTGTCCACTTTGCAAGTGGGTGTCTGCAGGCTCGGGCTGTGTCCCCTGGGCCTGCGCGAGCGGGGGGCAGCTGGAAGGGGAGTTGGGGAGCTCTCTCTTTGTCTCCCCCGCCTCCGGAGGGGGTGACGTGGCGCTGGGCTACTGCAGCAACTTCCCAGAAGGCCCCCGAGGCCTTTCCAGAGCCAGGCAGCTGCCCCCTCTCTGGGTGGGTGGGCTTCCTTTTCAGGATTCAGTCTGTTGGACCCGTATTTACCAAGCACCTAACCAGTGCCAGGCACTTTCACATTTCATACTAAGAATCCCGTCCACGTGTATATCACGTTACTTTCCATGGTACACTTTTACACACGTGATTGCATTGGATCTTCAGAAGAATCCTTTTTTCTTTATAAAGTTTATTTATTCTTGAGATGGGGGAGGGGCAGAGAGAGAGGGAGAGAGAGAATCCCAAGCAGGCCCCACGCCCAGTGTGGAGCCGGAACTC